CTCTAAAATAAAATAAATCAAAAACATATATATCCTCATAGGTTGAAATATTTGTTATAGATTTTAGGTATAATAGTATTTTGGCTCTCTTAATTATTGGTAATTTTTTATTTTAATCCTTGTGATATTCAAAGCATATTTAAATTATTGATAAATTTTAATTTTAGTCTTTATAATATTTGACAAAGCATATTTAACCTCTAATTAATTGAAGTATTTTTTTCTTCTTTATATACCTATTATATATTTGAACTATTTTTAGAATTATAATGTTGTCAAATATGAAGTAATACAAGTTTAACGTTTTCTTACAATTCTGGGACAAATACTTTTCTTTTGAGCTAAGGATCTATTGGAAATACCATTTCTACCCCACAAAGATAAGGGTAATTAGGTCTACATACATCTTATCCTCCCTAAACCCCACTCGTGAAATTATACTAGGTATGTAATTTTTGTAATACAAGCTTAACGTAAGGTAATTAAGTGGTGAAACATTTGGTAATCATGGTAAATTTGTGAATGTTAACAAAAATGTATATGTTTCACTTAATTGAAGGTCAAATATACTTAATCTTATATCATACGAACTAAAATCATAATTATCAATAACTGAGGGACTAACAATACTAATATTCATCCTAGATTTTAAGTTCATTATAATATCAGTCGTAAAATAAATAGTATAGAATCAGGTCACTCATATAAATCGCATGTGATATATATATATATTAAGAATTGTTATTTGTTGAATCAAAGTTTTGATTTCTATTTCTAGAGTGTGTTTGTTTCCTAAAATAACTCACATCCTACCATGTCCACCTAAAGAATAGGAATTTAGACACAATCCCAACTACCTTGATAAGACCATCATCATCTTTCCTTTTTGTGAATTATCATGGCATCATTCTCTAATTTTCTTCTTCATTATCCACAAAATTCCAATTTTAATTTTGCTTCTTCCTTCCTCCTCTTTGTTCCCTTTAGAATTTGGGAATAGCATTTACAATTCCTCCTTGTAACCAAATCCTTCAATCACATTGTAAATAACACATTCAAATTAATCATCTTCTTATATCTATCTATCTTTAATTTCCATTAAGTTATTTTCCCCTATAATTCTTATGTTTTACCTAAAGGGTGGCTATGTTTAATACACCCTTTGTTATATCCTTTGCACTTTTGTTATCATTCCCTCTCCTTTTCCTCTTCGCGCCACAAATCTTTCCACCTAAACACATTGAGATCTCGATCCCTGATGAACTTGATGATCTTGCTTTGTTTCGTCGTGCAACCCTAGCTTCTATTGACGTGAACGGTGGTGCCATCTCACGACTTGGCACCACCAATCCCCGTATGAAGATCGCGTTTCTCTTCCTTACCAACACCGATCTCCATTTTGCCCCATTATGGGATCGGTTTTTCGCCAATCATGATGATCTTTTCAACATTTACATCCATGCAGATCCATCATCCAAGATTACCCCACTTAGCGGACGCGTCTTCAAGGGCCGCTTCATCGCGTCTAAGCGAACCCAACGTGCATCCCCTACCTTAATATCAGCCGCTCGTCGCCTTATGGCGACCGCCCTCCTAGACGACCCGTTAAATTCCTATTTTGCCCTTGTATCACAACATTGTATCCCTTTACATTCATTCAACTTCATTTACAACTCTCTCTTTCGATCTCAATTTCCTGAATATCGTAGCTTCATTCAAATACTATCGAACGAGTCGTACATGTGGGACCGTTACGTGGCACGTGGCGAGAGTGCAATGCTACCTGAGGTACCATTCGATCGGTTCCGATTCGGGTCACAATTCTTTGTCCTCACACGAAGACATGCATTGGTAGTGATCAGAGATAGGAGATTATGGAGGAAATTTAGAATGACTTGTTTAAATGAGGATTCATGTTACCCGGAGGAACATTATTTTCCTACACTTTTGTCAATGGAGGACCCTCAAGGGTGCACACAATATACTTTGACACGTGTCAATTGGACGGAGAGTGTCGATGGACACCCACATACTTATTTTCCTGCAGAAATTTCATCGGATCTTATTTATAAGCTTCGGGAATCAAATTCTACGTATTCTCATATGTTTGCAAGAAAATTCTCACCGGATTGTTTGAAACCTTTGATGGATATCGCGGACAAGGTCATTTTCCGGGATTAAAGGTATGTTTTTTTAAAATAATAATAATAATATTTTGTATTAGAATTGCTACAAAAATACTAGTATTAATACATATATATCGTTCTTTATTGGCATTTTGTTTTCTAATTATTGATTCATTTGATTAGTTTTTTCTTTTAATTTTTTATGGATCCCCAAAATTACCATTCACAACAATATCCATTTTTTTATATGGTATAATTGAAACGTGTAAATTATCCTACTTTTCTTTTTTAGTAATTATGTTGTCTAAGTCAGCTTACATGCATATAGACTGTAATTTGTACCACATGTATTTCCTACCTCTAATTACTATACGTATCGCTGAGTCTATCTATAAGACAGAGACATATGAGAAGAAATCAACACATTTTTACTTTTACTATAATTTGAACTAAAAGCTTCATGGTTCAGAACTCAATTCATTGAAAATTAGACCACACTATTAGGTTAATGGACCTACATTCACCTTGTTGGATGCTCAAGTACGGAGCCCTTTATTTTCCGACCTAAACATTACTTAATTCTTAGGTAGAAAACTAGTGCATACAAATAGATCACTTGAGCTACTACATAATTTAAAATTTTAGATCCGTCACTGCATGACTTAATATCTATATGATTTTTTCGCTGAATAATTTTTCTTTATTTACGATAATATTGATCTAAGATGTGATTGACATGTTGTTTATTTGATTCTGCAGGCAAGTTCGAAATATTATATTTAGGTTATTGTAGGAACTCAAAAACTTCGAAGGCTGAAGCAGGAAGAGGCTAAGGCCCATGCCAAAGCCCTCTCACAATAAACAAAATTATGTTGCTATTTGGTGGTGTCTCTTGTACATAAAGTTAGAGAACTACCTTTGGCTTACTTGCTTGGTTGTGTTTACAAAGTGAGAAAACAAATTGGTGTGATGGTCACAAATTGGTGCTTATTATGAGCTTAGAATGCAGTTAGAGAAGGATTTGGTGCAAAGGATAAGTAAAATGTAGCGGAACAAAACTTATCTCTTTGTTCGCCTTTCTTTTTACACATTCTTTCTCTATGAGGTTTCGACTTGTAACTTACATATATCTACCTCTTATAACTTTTTATTATATTATATAAACCTCGTATTTTATATTTGTGTAATGGGATTATATTGTAATCTAGAAGTAGAAGATTTTGCTCCTTATGTGTCAATTTTTTATTTTTTTTTTTGTGTAACAAAATTGCCTCATTTTAGCTTTTTTTCAGTAGATAATCTTGCAGCTCATGTCATAAAATTAGTTTATTTTATTTTAGCTTTTTTTTTTATCACTAAACTCCAATAAGACAATGATTTAGTGCAAATGATAAGCAAAATATTGTGAAACAAAGCATATCTCTTTGTTAGCCTTTTTTTTTACACATATTTTTCTTTCTAAGGTTTCGATTGGTAAATAATCATATATTTCTTATAATTTATATATTATACAAAACTTTTTTTTTTGTAATTGTATGGCAGGATTAATAATAATATAATTTAGAGGTTGAAAGTTTTGCTCCTAATGTGTTAGTCTAATTCTTTTCTTTTTTGATTTAGTGTAACATAATTATGTTTTTATCTTGATTTTTTAATTATTAGTGATGTTGCTATCATGTGTCAATTTTAATTCCTTCCCCCCTTCTAGCCACTTGGTATAATAAAATCACCTTATTTAATTTTAATTTTCTGATATTTTAAAAAATGCATTCATTAATATTCTATGTTCGTCAACATTTTCGAGTAATGTTTCATACTTAATGTTTGAAATGATTTTTTTCAAGTTGATTATTATAAAATTGATGTGCTTTGTGATTTAATTCAGTTTGGTATAAGTTTAACATACGTTCATTATCATTATTAAACTTCTCTTTTAAGTACTTGATTTAAGGGAATAATTAAGAACAAATAAAGCAAATTAAGAATGATTAATTTAAGAAACATGTCTATTTTTTTTTATTTCTAGAATTTTGATCAATTCCAAATTGATTGTGGAAACAAATAAATCAGATAAGATTTTAATACATATCTTTTACTCTTTATTGATATTTTTTATATGTAAAATATGTGAGTTTCATGAACTCAAAGATATTTAAAATTATTATATTTCAAACAAGATTACATTAAAATTAAAAATAAATTGTGTAAACCTCCATTACAAAATGCTCTTATCCTCTTTATGATCTTCGTCGGTTCAAAGTCTATTCATAAACACGTTTTAAAAATATCTATACTATACTAAAATGATGGAGTAAGGTCAAAATATCACTTCTGAAAGAAAAATCACATTGAATTAGCCAAAACAGAAATGAATAGATATAATCAATATTCGTGCTGTAAAATTTAAATACGTCAAAGAAATTTCGACACACATTGTAAGAACATATTCAATATGAATTTATAAGTGAAATATAAAGAGAGTAGACTGTACGCAAATTATCTGTCTATACTGAAATGATGGAGTAAGGCCAAAATATCACTTCTGAAAGAAAAATCATATCAAATTAGCCAAAACAGACGTGAATAGATATAAATAATATATGTGTAGTAAGATTTAACATGTTATAGATATTTTAACACACATTATAACAATAAGAACATATCCAGTAGGAATTTATAAGTAAAATATAAAGAGAATAGACTGAACGCACATCATTATTTTCGATACACATTGAATAAAGCTGAGAAAAAAAAAACAAGAGAAACATTCCCCTATAATAATATTTTTTTCCATTTCAAATTGACCATTATAGAAAAACAAAAGAAAAAAAAAATACACTTTGAGTAATAAATAAATAAAACATGAGTCCACCATTGTCAACAAATATTGGACCCCTTTCATTGTCATCACACCCCACCCCCCCCTTAACCCCCTTCCCTCAATTTCCACCATTTTTTTTCTCCCAAATCTTCCCTGTTCCCTGCAAAATCTCAGCAAAACTCAATTTTGGAAGATGAGTATTTCAAGAAACTCAGGTGGGGTTGGAGGGGTAGTGGGTGGTGTTGATATGCTGAGTGAAAGAGCAAGAATGATGAGAGATTCATTGCAGAAGAGTCAGTCTATTACTGACAATGTTGTGAACATTTTGGGTTCCTTTGATCATCGTCTTTCTGCTCTTGAAACTGCTATGCGTCCTACCCAGGTTCTGATTTTACTTTTTGTATCAAATGGATGATAACCCATGTTCTGAAAATTTTGATCTATGAAGAGTTTGGTGTGTTGTAGAGTCATAACGTGAAGATCTTGGGTTTCGATAGATTTGCCTGATAATGTAGCAGCTGATTGTTTTGATAGATAATTCGAGTTGAGGTGTGAGCAAGCTAGTTCGGATTTCATGTTAGCATTTTGCCTCTTGCAGAAATGCAGGGTAAGGCTGTGTACAATAGATCCTTGGGGTCCATTCCTTTCGTAGAAGCCGCGCATAGCTAGAGCTTAGTGCACTGAGCTGTTCTTTTAAGAAGTTGTGGGTTTGGCCTAACCCAACTGTTTTGCCTCTTGCAGAAATGCAGGTTAAGACGATGTACAATAAACCCTTGTGGTCTGTCCATTTCCTGGACACGTGCATAGGGGGAGTTTAGTGCATTGGGCTTCCTTTTTCGTGTATATATGTTACGGAATCTACTAAATATGAACAAATTTTAGCTCAACACACCATGTTTGCATTTGGGATGGATACAGACCCCAGACTGTATTTTTGGTGTATTTGGAATGAAAGAAACAGGAGATTTTTCGATGGAGTTTCAACTCCAATTGTAAACTTAAGGCTAGTTGTTTGGTTAACCTTTTTAGCTGGGCTAAATGTTCACCTGTAAATAACTTAGATCACCACATGGATTTTGTCAGCTCCTAAGCTCTATAAGCTTTTTGTTCTTTCTGAGTTGACAGATCCTTTTTGTATGTTTGCATCTACTGGATGCCTTGATGGAATCTCACTTACTTCATCAAGAAAAAAGAGAAGAAGTTATGGGTTCGGCCTGACCGAATTGTTTGGCCTTAAACACTATATATATATGTTACAGAATCTACTAAATATGATCAAATATTAGCCCAGACACTATGTTAGCATTAGGGATGGATGCACAATAGAAGTTACAGGTTCGGCCTAACCCAGTTGTTTTGCCTCAAACCCTGTATAAGTATTAAGAGATCTACTAAATATGTACGAATATTAAGTTTTTAACCCAATTACTGAAATGGTCAGTAGTTATGGTATTTTGAATCCACAAAGGTCAAATCATGTTTTTTTGCCTCGGTTTAGCATAAATATGGGAGAAAAGAGAAAGGGAAAGAAAGGGGTCATTTGAATTTGAATTTATAGAGCTTATTAGAGAAAAAGGGGACAATTAAGGAAACTAGGTGATTTTTGTTGAATGTTGAAGTGATACAATTCTTTGATTTCTTTAATTTCTTGTTTCCATTTTAGGCATACTCTTTCCTTTTCAATTCTTGGATTTGTTTAATTTCTTGTTTCTATTTTAGGCATACTCTTTCCTTTTCAATACATATTATTATTTTTTTCCTGATCTAATTTTGGGTAGCACTTGCTAATTTATATCATTTCAGTTTTGGTTCATTTCTTGACTGGTACTCAATTTGTTCTTTGTAGATAAGGACTCATGCTATTAGGACGGCTCATGGAAACATTGACAAGGCTTTAAAGGCTGCTGAGGTTATACTGTCCCAATTTGATATTTCTCGTCAGGTTGCTCTAGCCTCTAATGTTTGTTATGTCGTTAATTTGCTTAGATCTGATAGAGATACTCCTTTTAGTTTCCTTGATTGAACATGAGCTTAGTAGCAAAGAGTACTTGTATTTAGCAGAAAAGGAGTTATGGTGATCTTTGTTAGAGATAAAAACTCCAACCCACCTGATGGCTCTTCACGTGTGACTGGTGTTCAAGATAAACCGAAACTCTCCTCCAATATCTATGTGATATGTTTCAGATGTATACAAACAGGTAGAAATGAGTATAATCTTCCTAAAAAGCCTGACAGGGGTAATATTTGTATAGTGCATAGGGATGGCAATGGGGCGGGACGCTTGTGGGGTGGGGCGGGTTATAGTATTTGTGGGGCAGTACGGGTTAGAGCTTTTGCGGAGGTGGGTTTAAAATATTTTTGGAAAAAACATGCGGGGCGGGTACGAGGGTTGTTTTTTTGCTGGTTGTTTTTAGGCTTCAAATTTGTTTGACTACTGGTTTGGGCAGTGAATATCCCAAATGGGAATTTTAGGAGAGAGTTCCTAGTATATGGTTTTGGGGCAAACATTGTTCTTCCTAGAATGGAATAACACGCAGCTACTGTCTCCTTCTCAAAGCGCAGGGGATGTATGCGGTGCTTTGATGGGGTGAATTTTTTTCTATGTTGCTCGGACTCTTCAAAAATGTCGACGGGTGCATGTCGGATCCTCCAAAATAGTGTATTTTTGAAGGATCCGACACGGGTGCGGCAATATTTTTGGCGAGTCCGAGCAACTTAGATTTTTTTTTCTCATTAATTGTCCTCTCAAAGTGCAGGGGATGTTCATTTTTTTCATGAATTTATGAAAATAAAAGTGATTTTGTCCCTATATAATGTTAGAAGCACAAGAATGTTGGAGCTATGATGGTGGGGAAAAAACAAAAAATTATGCTATGCGGGATGGGTCAAAGTCCTTGCGGGTTAATGCGGGTTGACCCCTCCCTGCCCCATTTGCCATCCCTAGTTGTGCATAATTATACACCTTGTACATGAATGCAGGAGAGTACAGAAAAGCCCAACTTTCAGTATCCATTTCCTTTTTGAATTTCTTCATGATATTAGAGTTTAGGCTCATTGTGATGTTGGGGAAACCTCCTTTCCCTGCATTCACACCGTTTGTAAATGCTTCGAGATGAGACAGGACAATGATGAGCAAATTTGAACAAACACACCCTTACAATGGCATTTGTAGTCCCAAAATTTCAGGTTCAAGGGGAACCACTCGTATAAACTTCTTTAGAGGAAGAGGACAATCAATAGGTAGAGACACTAGACCACCCAACGAAGATGTTTTGGTAGCACAAGGGTTTGAATTTGAATTCTCCCATTATTAGTTATTTTCATTGCTTGTGCTAATAAATTTGTAAAGATATGACACTTGGGTCTAACTCAACCTCAAAAGCTAGCTCATGAGGGGAGGTTTGTCCAAATCCATATAAGGAGACCAAATTCTCATCCCTCTACTGATGTGGGACTTCTTAACACTCCCCGGCATGCCCAGACCTCAACTGGAGTGCGAACACTTCTAAATGGGGGACCCAACATCGGTGAACAATAAATTGGGATGGGCCTGGCTCTGATACCATGTAAAGATATGACACTTGGGTCTAACTCAACCTCAAAAGCTAGCTCATGAGGGGAGGTTTGTCCAAATCCATATAAGGAGACCAAATTCTCATCCCTTTACCGATGTGGGACTTCTTAACATGGTATCATGTTGAAACGAAAGTATGGAGTAATTTCAATGTGT